ATCCTAGAAATTAGGGATATATTTTGGGAAAATGATAAGATGTAATGGAATCTATGGTTGTTTAGTCTTATGGTGAATACGTAATTGAGATATTCTTATGATTGTGTATAAAAAGGAAATTCCATTGAAAGAAAATGAGAAATGTTTAAATTAAAGCTGCTTGTATAGCTTATTTTTGGTTGGTCTTGAAATGACCAAGTGGAAGAATAGAGATTTAACATTTGGAGAATACGTGAATGTTAAGGTCGTTATATCATCCTTTAGAGTTATATTATGATGATTAACATATGAAAAATGCTTGAAGGTTAATGTTGTATTATTTTATTTCTTGTAATATATTATGATATTGCATTGATAAGAGATGTGTGATCACAAATGGAGAATTGTGTGGAGAAATTGAAAATGGTTTATGTTAATGCATTGGACATTTTTACATTGCCATGTCATTTTAGCATTGATGCAATTAAATTTAATTATTACATTGGAAAAGAGGACATTGTTTTGTGAAACAAGATCATATTGATTTGTTTTTGGGATAAATGCGTTGGTAAGCTTGGATAGGGGGTATAGTTGGTATTGGTTAAGTTGGTTTGAGTGTCCATGGTGAAAGATCGAAAACATGCGCCGAGGAGATACTACGTGCCTTCCGATTAGATACCGGTAAAGTGGAGATTTGGTAGTGCCTATTATTCCTACTTGCAAACACCAATCTAGAGATTACCCGAGTCGTATTTATCGTCCTGTTTAATTACATTGAAATTATTGAATTGTTAAATTTTCACGATTGCATTGTGCCCAAAGTTTTCAAAAGATAAAGATATATGTTTTTGAACACGGTTTGACATATGCATTCATCCCATGAGATCGTATAAAATGCAGGTACTTTGTTAAGGTTTTCCTACTGGGTTTTGTGCTCACCTCTATGAGATTTTGTACAGGAAATGATGTGGTGATCCCACCAAGTTAGAGACTATTAGGTTTTTATTGTTGGCAATCCAATTTGACAAAACGCCTTTCAGTTGTACTTGTTTTCACACTTTTATTTCAGTGAGACTATGAGTTTTTAGATGCGAATCCAACCCGAATTGTGCCTTACAGAGAAGTTTGTGGTGCTAATTCTTTCATGATTGCCATTTTTGCATTTAGTTTAGATTCAGTTTTAAAGATTCTACATTCGATTTGGTTCATCAATTTTTAAAACTGTGAAGGCCAGTTGGATTCTTGGTTCACCTTAAAACCAAACCAAACCAAATCAAGCCAAGCCAGTTTATGAACACCCTACGAAACTGCATCGCAAAGTAATGAGACTCAAACTCAATGTTCATCACACTCTATAAGAGAGTGCCCAATCCACAATGTCAACCCCTTGATCTTGTACAATTACAAATTAGAAAATCCAATTCCTTGCTCACCATACCATTATCATCATCCCTAAATTCACCCTTTGTCTTAATCTTTAAAAATTTTAAAACCAAACCAAACCAAACCAAATCAAGCCAAGCCAGTTTATGAACACCCTACGAAACTGCATCGCAAATTAATGAGACTCAAACTCAATGTTCATCACACTCTATAAGAGAGTGCCCAATCCACAATGTCAACACCTTGATCTTGTACAATTACAAATTAGAAAATCCAATTCCTTGCTCACCATACCATTATCATCATCCCTAAATTCACCCTTTGTCTTAATCTTTAAAAATTTAAAAAATAAAATAAAAAATAATTCACCCTTTGTCATAATCATCATCTTCATTTTCATATTCCTATTATTCATTTATCACACTGATAATAATATGATTCCTTCCTACCACTTAAAACTTTTTATCTTTAAAAATGTCAAGAAAGAAACACAAGAAGTCGAATTTTCTAAGCCAAAATTATTGAAGTTGGAAATGCCAGCCTTCTCATTATCCCTTCCGAGTCTACCCTCTCAATTCCATGTTGTTTTTGTACTTTTGTTGATGGAAGATTAATGTAGGGCCTAAACAAGCGTACCGAATAATTTGGTTCACATGAATTCATAGTGACAACAATATCTAAAATCTTTGTATATACATTTGACATATGTAAGCTGGCAATAGGGGAGAGAAAGAGAGAGAGACTACAACTTATATTTTAATTGAAGGGATGTATTAATTTTTGTGTGTGCACGTGGGCACCCTCATATTTGCCTGTGGCAATATACCCCATAATTCATAAACTTGAACAAACTTCTTCGAACTTCAAACCTTCTAAGTTTATGTAGTTAAAAATAAAATAAAATAAAATAACAAAAAGGACAAATTTATTTTTTTTAAAAAAAATTTAGAGTTTTATTCTTATAATAAAATAAATGTTGAATTTTTATTCTTATAACAAATCTATAACAAAATAAATCTATAACAAAAAAATTTAGAGTTTTATTCTTATAAAAAAATAAATCACGGGGGTCTAGGGGGCAGCGCCCCTTGGCGGGTTCGGGGCAGCGCCACGGTAGGGTTGAGGGACAGCGCTCCTGAAGCAAAATGCAAAAATGCATTCAAAATTGCAGGTCCGCTCGAGCGGCGGTTTAACCGCTCGAGCGGAGAATCCTTTTTCTGCTCGAGCGGAATTTTCTGCGCTCGAGCGTTGGTCCGCTCGAGCGGCTATTTCGATGCTCAAGCGGAGATCGGGGAACAGAGTGCTATAAATATGTGATTCAGTCAGATTTTAGGGTTACGCTTCCAGATCTTCTTTTTGGATATTATGGTTTATATTTGGGGATATTTTTCTATTTTTCTTTGATGTTTGATTGAGTATTCAATTCATGGTTTAAAAAGTATACATCAAAGGATTGTTTGTTTATTCTATACAAAAGAGAGAGTTGTTCTTCGGTGGATTCTGGAGAATTCGAGCCTGAAGCTTTGGTAGATTCTAGAGTGGTTCATCGTCGTGATTCGACATTGGCGTTGTGGATTCAACGTTGGGCAAGACAATTCCGAGGTAAAGACGGGGCTGGAAGAAGCACATAGGGGTTGGTTCAATTCGCTAGGTAATTGAGGGTATACATGTATAATTCCTTTATATCTTTTTAGTGGATTGTTTTGTAACTTTTTCTCGTAGTTTTTTTTTATCACAATTGGTGGCGCTCTAATTATTCTTTTTCCACGTAACATCGTTGTGTTGATTTGTCTTTCATTGTTTGATTGAGATTGCTATTTACTGATTAAAATTGATACATAATGACAAATAAATATTTAGAGGATTTCTAGATTTTTCAGAGGCGTAGAGATATGTTTTGAGTGCACAAGACTCTTTTCTTTTGTTGTAATTATTTTTGACAAGCCAAGGGCTTTATGTGTATGGGTTTGAAACTACGTTTGTGTAACCGGGTTTAAGGCTTGGAATTTGTAGTATTTGAGGGCATTAATTCGTATTATATTTTCTTACTACATGCTATAGCATTCTTTTGTAAATCTCTTAATGGTTAATGAATTATAAATGTTAAAAATTTGATAATGACGTTACTATTGTGATTTACTTACGTTTACATTAAATAATAAAAATTGATAAATATTTAATGTATAAATTTCCGAGGCGTGACACTAGCGAACAACTTTTAAATTTATTAAGCATAATAATCACTAGTTTCTTTCAATTTCAATATAGTAATTGATTCTTTTAACTTTATAGTGACTGTAATTAGATATTATGTTTCTTTGAAAAAGCGTAATATTTTATGTTTGTTTGAAAAAGTCTAATTTTTTTTCTTTAATAATTCATATGAAGAAATTTTATAATGGACCCCTCTTCACCCCTCCTGCTCTCATGAATCTATTTAAAAAACAATATTACATTGGCCCATCAAATTTTGAAAAAATAAACCCTTTATCAATGGAAATTTTGGCTGAAAACCTTTCAAAATAATTTAGGTAAATTATATTAACTTTCTTTGTGATTTTAAAATAAAACAAGTTTTATAATTTTGATATAATTATATTGACTTTCCTTTTAGTAAGATTAAAGAAATCAAAATTAATATAAATAGAAGGAAGATACAAAAATAAATTAGGTACAATATATATTTGAGTATAAAGAAGATGACAATATCATTTTTTTTTTATTCACACGACTAATGAATTTGTGATGCAAATAGGACTAAGCATTACTAAATTAAAATTTTAAAGGAGCTCAATATAATTATGCTAAATTTGTAAAACTTATTATATTTTTTTACAGCTTTTAAGAGAGTGTTGACACCATATTTTATTTTCTGTCGATTTTGACCTCTCAATAGGCCAAGTCTAATCTACTTAGTTGTGGCCGGTCAATTAAGGCCAAATCTAATTTTATTGATTGTGACTTGTCAATTGGAGGACACATGACAGCAACATGTTTCTTTTAGTTGCCTACTTTATAAGCATCAAAGGGTGGCACTACATCCAACAAATGTTAAGGCAACCACCATCTTCTTTCACATGGCAATCGTGGCGGTGCGCATGAAGGGAACAAAAACTGCTCTAGGTAGTTTATTGAAATCATCGGTGGAATCTATACATATGCAAAGAGAAGATAAGCAAAGGACCTTCAATTGAACTATGAGTAGATTATCTGTAATCCAGTGATTATAATCTAGTTTGGACCTGTCGATTGTAATGTTATTTGAACTTGTAATTTTATTTTTGTTATTAAATGACAAGTTTAAGTGTTATCAATCGAATTTTTAGTTAGTCTGTATTTGTTTCTTCCCATTACAATAATCTCTAAAAAAATTCTTGAATTTGTTAAGACATAGGATACCAATCACATTACTTGATTGTATTTCTGTTTATGAAAATAAATTTTCCTATCGAATCTTCTCTATCGATTTGACCAAAATCAGATTTTTGCTAGTTAGCATATGGCTATTATTAAAAGATAAAGGAGTAAAGTGCTATTGAGTCATATCATAAAGAGATAAATTAAATTTTGCTCTTAATCAAATAATTTCCAATAAGATAATTCCTAACTAATAAGCACAAATTTGGGGTGGCCAATCAGCAACAAAAAGAGAAATGTACATTACAAAATGATCATCCTTTTATTTATTCAAATACAAGAAACTTCATTAGCAGGCAGACAGTAGTACAACTTGCAAAATAAAACATTACCCATAGCAAAACATCAGTCTACACAGTTTATTCTTGATTTCCTTCTCAAGATCGTTGTGTATGCTTCTTGAGGTAATCCACGAAATTATTCACGTATTTATCTTGTATAGCCCTGTCAAAAAGCAACCCACTCATCTCTTTAACCTTGTCCCTGTATACCCTGCCTTCATCCTCAACCATCACTAGTCTCAGTGAGTCGGCCACCGAGTCTCTCGTGAACGAGCCGTCCTGCTCGTCTCTCGGTATCAAGTATGCCATCTTCTTCTCTTCCAAAAGCCTAGCGATCAACCCTGTGTCTGCCAAGAAAGACAGCAAAATGAGGGATTTCTCGAATTGTATGGCCTCAATTACCGAACTCCACCCAGAGTGAGACAAGAATCCACCCACTGAGTCATGACTCAGTATCTTGAGTTGAGGAGCCCAACTTGTGCAAATCACCCCTCGTCCCTTGGTTCTCTCCTCAAACCCATCTGGTAACTGGATCACCTCACTATCAAGCATACCACGCCGAATCCTCAGAACCCAAAAAAAAGGTAACTCAGATAGCTCTAACCCGAGAGCTATCTCAGTAAGTTCGGCTTGACTCGGCTGTGCTTCGCTCCCAAATGCAACATAGACCACGGACCTTTGGGGCTGCTTGTCAAGCCACTCTTTCATCTCGATCCATGCTTCATCGTTGTCACAACTATCATACCCCGTGGTGGGCAGTTGGCCAACTGGTATAATCGGTTTCTGGTGAATCTCTTCAAGAAGTTTTAACCATTCGGGTTCGAGCTCATAAGAGCTTCTCACAGCCAACACATCACAGGCTCCGATGCCTGCTCCCAACCGATATGTCACTGGAACATTTTCATCGTTGGCTGTGGCTGCGTCTTCGAAGATCCGCTTAATCTCGAAAAGCCGAAATGCGATGGTGGATTTAAAGGGGATCCATTTGGGTGGAACAGTGAAGTCCTCTGGTGTGTTGCGGTCATCTTCTCCACTCAAACCCTTCAGGACTTGTACAGGACCAAGAAAGCACGCAGAAGCGGCAATTGAAACTCCGAAGAACACACTGGAAATGCCAAGTCTGGTAGCAATAGGGCCTAGCCAATATGGTGCGAAATCGTAAATAACCCAATCGGGAGCCAAATCTGCCAGAATCTGAGTCATGGGTTGTTGGAGTTGATCGTAGGCCATCTTGAGGTACTTGACCTCGTCATAGGGAAGATCGATGGTGGACTCTGCGTTGTTGGGGAGTTTGTCGACCTTAGGCAATTGAAGCTTCACTAAATTGATGAGAGGGGCTAGATTTGGGGGCAATTTGGGCAGTCTGTCGATGTTTCTAGGAGTGCATACAAAGGAGACTGTGTGACCCTTTTGGGCTATGACCTTGGAGAGTTCTAAGAAAGGAAACATGTGACCAAAAGCTAACCATGGGAACATAACTACGTGAAGCTTATCTGGTGTTTCCATGCTTGGGTTAGGCATGGACTCCATGTCTGGAATTGATCAGTGGAAGAATGCTGAGAGTCTATGGCAGTTAGCACCACCAGCTCAAGTATTTGTAGAGACAGACCAGACGGTGAGGAAGACAAAAATTAGAGGTGAGGAAGAAAGAGAGATCAGAGGTGAGGTGAGGAAAATAGAAAGAGAGAAGATATGAAATGAAAAGATGAAATGACTAATAAAAAAAAAGTAGATGAAATGAACGAATGAGAGAGAGAGAGAGAGCACTGTTAGGTACTTGTTGGCCTAGGTTCAGTATGACTAGTGAGATGGGGGAAAACGCTCCCAACATCGTGAACAGCAACCTGAGCAAGAAATCCACTGAAGAACAAGATCATCTCTCAAGAAGCACCAAGAAACTTAAGGGGTTAGTCATGGACTCCATGTCTGGAATTGATCAGTGGAAGAATGCTGAGAGTCTATGGCAGTTAGCACCACCAGCTCAAGTATTTGTAGAGACGGACCAGACGGTGAGGAAGACAAAAATTAGAGGTGAGGAAGAAAGAGAGATAAGAGGTGAGGTGAGGAAAATAGAGAGAGAGAAGATATGAAATGAAAAGATGAAATGACTAATAAAAAAAAGTAGATGAAATGAACGAATGAGAGAGAGAGAGAGAGCACTGTTAGGTACTTGTTGGCCTAGGTTCAGTATGACTAGTGAGATGGGGGAAAACGCTCCCAACATCGTGAACAGCAACCTGAGCAAGAAATCCACTGAAGAACAAGATCATCTCTCAAGAAGCACCAAGAAACTTAAGGATATTGAAGCGATTGCCAGCGATTCTATGGTTGTCGAACCTGTTGGTGACCAGGGGCGATCGGACCAATTGGTAAACGAGGGTGTCTCCTCTGTGGAGAACCATTTTGGGCATAATCGTGGTCCAAGATCCTTCAAGGAAGCACTCACTAATCTTCGTCCTTATGAAAGGGCCTTCGACGATGATCTGGATCATCTGTCAACAGATGATGAAGAGCTTGGTGAGGAAGCTTCGGACGATGAAGAATATATGGATGAGGGAATGGATTTTGGTGTTCCCAGAATTAAACTCCCTAAGAGTCTCCTGAATAAAATTAGGAGGCCTTGGAAGGACTGTTTGATTATCAAATTACTGGGAAAGACTGTGGGTTATAAACTTGTTATTACCAAAGTTAGAAATATTTGGGATCTCCAAGGAGATTTTGAAGCTATTGATCTAGGGCTTGGATACTTTCTTTTTAAATTTCAAATGAGGGAAGATTGTGCTAAAGTGTACATGGGAGGACCTTGGATTGTTTTGGATCATTATCTAACGGTTCGAAAATGGAAGCATGATTTCAAGCCCTCTCAAGCCAAGGAAGTTTCAACTGCTATGTGGGTAAGATTTCCACAACTTTCTATTGAATATTATAATGAGAAAGTTTTATTTCATATAGCCAAAATTATTGGGAATCCCCTGAAATTTGATATTAATACAACCACTTCTTCTAGAGGAAGATTTGCTCGTGTTTGTGTTGAAATGGATTTGAATAGACCTCTAATTTCCCATTTTGCTATTGGTAGGTATACTTATGGTATAGAATATGAACTTCTTCATTCCTTCTATTTTTTTGTGGTAGAGTTGGCCACAGAAAGGAGAGCTGTAGTGAGGCTCCGAAGAAGACCGCCGGTGGTGTCTCTCCGGCCAATCAAGATGAGTAGAATTTGACCGTTGAAGATGTTGTGGTTGTCAGTTCCAGTAAGCCCCTAGATGGGTTGGCTAGCACTGATGAGAACACTAAGGAGGCCAATAGGGAGAGTTATGAACCTTGGATGCTTGTTAACAGAAGAGGCCCTCGGAAAAATTTGATGGGAGGGAGAGAGTCCAAGTTTGGGTCCAAGGGCAAAGCCCACAAGAAAGATATGTTTAAGCCCACTCATTTTATTCGTGCTACACATTTAGGGGAGAGTTCTATTGGCCCAAGCTTGCTGCATCAAGATCTTCCCTGTAACGCCCTCAAAATAATAACATTAAACCCAACATATAAGACATGCATTGATATGTAAAAGTTCCATATTCTTCCATTTATCAGAATTCTATTACATAAGTATTACATGTTAACAACAAAAGAAGAGGCCCTCGGAAAAATTTGATGGGAGGGAGAGAGTCCAAGTTTGGGTCCAAGGGCAAAGCCCACAAGAAAGATATGTTTAAGCCCACTCATTTTATTCGTGCTACACATTTAGGGGAGAGTTCCATTGGCCCAAGCTTGCTGTATCAAGATCTCCCCTCTGCCGATATTCCTGTCTTAGAAGAAAGTGTTGTTACAGATAACCCTTCCACGACTTTGACTGCTGACAACACTTTGATGGACAGCTCTGCCGTAGCCAGAGCTTCCCCTCCAGTTAAGGCTTTTCCAGCTGGTGTTAACATTTTTGCAGAACCTTGGGATAAGGCTTTAAAGCCATCTTTACCTAGTCCCAAAGAACCACCTGATCCTAACTCTTCTTATCTCCCAAAAGTTAATCTTCCCAACATATCCTTTATTTCTGAGTATGGTGATTCTAGAGGAGAATCAACACAGAGTCCAAACAAGCATGATCTATCTTTCATTAGATCAAGAGAAAGAAGCCATTCACCTAATAGATGTCGATTAATGGATCGCAGAGGCTCGTTTCATAGTCGAGCAGGAGGAGATGGACACTTACGGCAAAAAGAACACCATGGTCAGAGTGAGTTCCATAGCTTCATCAGTCAACGACAAGCTCAGAGTAAGGAGGATATTGGGGACACCTGATTTTGTTCCCCTTCCGTCATTCCCTAAATCTGTCTCCATGAAGCTACTTATTTGGAATTATAAAGGTGCCGATTACAAAGCCTTCAGACGCACTATGAGGGAACTAGAGAAAACTTACAAACCTTCTATCATTGTCCTGATGGAAACAAAAGTTAAGCTTAGTTCTATGGGTCACTTCTTCAATAAACTTGGGTTCACAGCCTCCTCTCATGTGGATCCGGTGGGACGTAGTGGGGGCATCTGGATTTTGTGGGATCCCTTCCGTGCGACGGTAATGGCTCTTGATGTTAATGCTCAAGTCATACACGCTATGATTAAGCGTGATAACTACTCAGATTGGATTTTGTCGGCTATTTATGCTAGCCCAAATCCGCGGCTTAGAGACACACTTTGGGAAAATCTGGAAGATGTTGCTCAGAATATGAATGACCCTTGGTTATTAGCAGGTGATTTCAATGATATTGCTTCTCAAGGGGAAAAAGAAGCTTCAACTCCATTGCAAGCCAAGCCCGAACTCAGAAATTTGCAGCTAGGATGAATAGGTGCAAGCTCATGGACTTAGGCTGCTCAGGGCCTAATTTAACTTGGTCAAAGGGTAGACAAGGTATGGCAAATACTCTGGAAAGACTTGACCGAGCTGTTTGCAACACCGAATGGAGAGTTGCCTTCTCAGAAGGAGCTGTTCAGAATCTGCCTCGCACGTACTCAGATCACTCTCCGATGGTAGTGTACACTCAAGGTATGTCTATTTCTAACCCCCTAGCTAGGCCTTTTAGAATGGAGGCCGCATGGTTCACTGATCCTAATTTTAAAAACCTTGTTGAGAAAGCTTGGGCTGATAGTAAAAATTTTGTTCCTGAGGCTATAAATCTTGTTACTAAGAATGCTATTGCCTGGAATAAAAACTCTTTTGGTAACATTTTTCGGAGGAAACGATGGCTTTTGGGTCGTATTGAAGGCATCCAAAAGTCCCAATCTTGTGTTTATGCTCATAATTTATTTTTACTTGAAAAAGAGCTTGTTAAGGAGTATAATACTATCCTCTATTAGGAGGAACTGTTTTGCTTTCAAAAGTCGAGTGTTAACTGGATTACACAGGCGAAAGAAATACCAGATTTTTTCATATATCCACCATTGCGCGTAGAAGGAATATGAGAGTTACCACTCTCAAAATTAGTGAGGGTGTTTGGATCTCAGATCCTGTGGAGCTTAGTAACCATGTTCAGTGCTTCTTTAGAAACCTGTTTAAATGTGATGTTATGCATACTATTCCCAATAAGCCTGTTATTTTGCATCCCAGATTTTCTATTGATGATAATCGTTTTCTTTCTAAACCTATCTCTAATCAAGAAGTTTGGGAGGCGATTAAAAGTATTAAGGCCTTTAAGGCGCCTGGGAATGATGGCATTCAATCTCTTTTCTACCATACTCATTGGGAGATTGTTGGCCCCTCTGTGTGTAATTTTATTCAGTCTTGTTTTGCTAATAAAAATATCTCGGATAATTTTAAAGTTACTTTGATTACCCTTATTCCAAAAATTGAAAATCCGGAATCACTGACCCATTTTTGTCCCATTAGTCTCTGCAATGTTTTGTATAAAACTTTAACTTTGACTAAAGTGTTAGTTAGTCATCTCAGATCTATTTTGTTTACTGTGATTGGTCCTTTTCAAAACAGTTTCATCCCTGGTCGCTCCACTTGTGATAACATCATTATTGCACAAGAAATTGTTCATACTCTTAGGGGTAAAAAGGGTAAAAAAGGTGACATGATTTTAAAGATAGACCTTGAAAAAGCCTATGACAATGTGTCTTGGCAATTTCTTCACCAAACTCTTGTTGATTTCAATTTAAATGATCACTGGATTGAATTAATCATGAACTGTGTTACTAATGTGAAAGCCTCTGTGCTTTCGAATGGTGAGAAGTTGAAAGAATTTAATATGGAGAAAGGGTTGAGGCAGGGTGACCCCCCCTCTCCTTATCTCTTTGTTTTGTGTATGGAGAGACTCTCGAGCATGGTTATGGCCAAAGTGAATGATAAGGGGTGGAAAGGGGTTAAGGCTCCGGCCCAAGGCCCTGTTATCACACACTTATTTTTTGCTGATGACTTGCTTTTGTTTGGTAAAGCGGATGAAAAGAACTGTCATATCATCATGGATGTTTTGAATGAGTTTAGTTCTCTTTCAGGTCTCAAGATTAATCTTTTAAAATCTAAACTTTTCATTTCTCCTAATGTTATTAATGTCAAGGCCAGATCCTTGAGTAGATTGTGTGGTATTTCTCTAACTCAAGATTTGGGTCATTATCTTGGCATCCCTTTGCTTCATAAAAAGTGTAACTGGAGTTACTTTCAATTTATTATTGATAAGATCCAAAGAAGATTGTCTGGCTGGAAAGCTAATCTTCTCTCGATGAAGGGGAGAGCCACTTTAATACAATCAGTTACTTCCGCTCTCCCCTCCTATGCTATGCAAACTATGGATGTTCCCATAAGCATCTGTAAGGATATGGATAGACTGAATCGTAACTTTTTGTGGGGAGATTCTGAATCTAGTAAGAAAATTCATCTTGTGAATTGGGATACTGTGTGTTATAATAAAAGAGTGGGTGGGCTTGGGCTTCGCAAGGCCAAAGCTCAGAATCTTGCTCTTATGTCCAAAATGGGGTGGAAAATTTTCAGTAATGAGGATTGTTTATGGGTAAAAGTGATTAAAGGTAAATATCTTTTAAAAGATTCCCTTCTTTCTTATGCTTCCAAGAGAAACTCCTCACTAACTTGGAAGGGCATTCTCAGAACCAGAGATATCTTGAGAAGAGGTATCAAGTGGGGTGTGGGTGATGGTGCTAAAATCTCCATTTGGCATGATTGGTGGTGCGGAGAAGCTTCTCTCGCTTCATAATACCCCGATCATAGTTTAATGAATATGGATACTGTGGATAAACTTATGAATGATGTTGGGGAGTGGGATGTGAATAAGATCAAGGCTTGCATTCCAAGTGAAGCCCTTGATTATGTGCTTAATGTTAATTTATCTCGTTTTGTTACCTACCCTGATACTCCTCATTGGAAGGGGTCCACCAGTGGCAATTTTTCTGCCGCTACAGCCTATCAAATGGCCTCTAGTTCGATGGACAATTCTATTAATATGGATTGGGTTTGGAAATTAAAAATTCCACAAAAGCTTAAAGGCTTTTTGTGGTTGATTCTTCATGGTAAACTCCTTACCAATTCTATGAGGTTAAAAAGGAGAATTACGGAGAATGCAAATTGTCCTAGATGCAATCATCTTTTGGAGGACGTTGAACATTTGCTCCGTGGTTGTACTTATTCCAGATTTGTTTGGCATGAATTAATGGGAAGCTATCAAAGTTCTAGGGCCATGTTGAGTCCCCTTAATGTTTGGCTCAAATCCAATTTACGTAATAGCATGGACGTGGGTCCAGATTGGGGCCTCATTTTTGCTGTTACTATTTGGCAAATTTGGAAAGAAAGGAATAGAAAAGTTTTTCATGATATTGCTCCTTCTTGGCAGAGAACAATTTTTCTAACATTTAATTATGTTAATGAGATTAAACATGCTTTCTCTATTTCTTTGACTAGTAATAGATTAACTCATGTTATGGTTAAATGGATTCCGCCATCTGCAGGTAAAATCAAGCTCAACACTGATGGTTGTGCTCGCGGTAATCCAGGTGAATGAGGCTTTGGCGGAGTATTTTGGGATAAAGATGGCTCTTGGTTGTGTGGATTTTTTGGCAAGCTTGAGGATTTTTTGGTAAGCTTGACTCTTGTTATAGTTTGGAGGCTAAAATGTGGGGTATTTACAAGGGCTTAACAATGGTGCTAGAGAAGGGTTTGCACAAAGTTATCATCGAGACGGACTTTACCTTAGCTGAAGAATTGCTCAATAAAAGGCCACCTTCAAACTGCCCTTTCAGAAGCATAGTGGAGGATTCTAGACACCTAATCCACAGGTGTAATTGCTCTATTCAACATATTCTACGAGAGGGTAACAAGTGTGTAGATTTATTAGCCAACATGGGAGCTGACCAATTGGATCCATTGGTGGTGGTAGATGAACCACTTATTGCTGTTAGAAACCAAATTGTGGCTGATATGGTGGGGATGGCATATCGGAGAATCTAGTTCCTGAGTGCCTCCCTTCTTTCCTTCTTCTTTTTCTTTCTTCTGCTCTTGTTTCCTTTCCGATGTATCCAAAAAGAGAGAGAGAGAGAGAGAGAGAGAGAGAGAGAGAGAGACTAATAAAAAAGTAGATGGAATAAATGAATGAGAGAGAGAGAAACTAATAAAAAAGTAGATGGAATGAA